CGAGGAGTGGCTAATGGGTTTGAAACCACCAACCTTGCAGTTCAAACTGAACTTTCAGTCCAGTGTTTACCCTACAGCACCATACCAGGACTCCATGAGCATAAGGAAATGTACAAAATAAACTATAATTAATATTCTAGATTTCATTGCTTTGGGAGGAATTATAGAAAATTAACATAGTAACATCAACTATCTCACACTCATTTGAAATTTAATTACTAGCATGTCTTTGATTAATTCAAAATGAGGAAATTATTTCTCATTTCAAAAAACTGAAGCAGTTTTGGGTGCTGGTGGAGGCAATACACAAAAAGGCGGAGGGGAACGGAAGAACAAGGCAGATGGAAGAACAGTTAGGCAGGTTTGCATGGGCTAAGTGGGACAGAGGTAAATAGTGATGTATGCTTAACCTTGAAACACCAGGGCTCTGGGATACAGGGATTTAGGCATGGTTTGAATGGATAAAAGAGGGGAAATAATGGTAAGATGCTTGGTTGTCTTTTGAATCCTGGTTTCTCTTGCCTACTATTGTAAAATAGATACTTGCGGGAACAGCCAGAAACATCACCATAGAAAGCTTGTAAGTCCATCTTCAGCCTATAACTGTTGTTGTTGTTGTTGTTAAGTGTCGTCGAGTAGGTTCAGGCCCATAGTGACCCTCTATAAGGTTTCCAAGGAGCAGCTAGTGAGCTTGAACTGCCAACCTTACAGTTCAAATGGCTTTGCAATGGAATACGTAAAATAGGGCTAGAACTTGCCCAGTGAAGGAGGCTTCCTATGGAGCCTTTGCATTGCATAAGACCATAGGTGGAATCCTGATCCCCATCCAGATTCTTCTGAGGTGGGAAATTTCCTCTTGAAAGGGCAACAGACAAGCCTGGAGTGGCTAGAACAGAAGATACTTCTTAAAAGCAAGACCTGCAGGAAAAATCAAAAACAGTAATGGCAGTCTAACTGACTACTACAGGAACAAGCAAGTTGTTTGCCTGGGAGCCATCAAGGCAAACGGTCGGGTCCCCTCAGAGCAAACCCGCTTCCAACACTGAGACTCAAGGGGAATACACTAGCAGGCATATGGTCTGACTGGTCTACTGATAAGGAGAAGTGGGGGAAAAACAGCAATGAAGTTGTGAGCTAAGTCTGATCATGTTCAATAGACTCCTATCAACCTAGGTTGAGACCTGGTTGGCCAGAAGTATGGCAAGACCTGGGGACTCCTGGGCCCAGAGACAGGGACATGGCCACAGAGGACTAGAGCGGAGAGTGAAATGTCCAGCTGATACGAAGTGAAGGGAGATGCACAAGAACACCCATACTTGCAGACAGTACCCACTTGACCTGGCTTCAATGGCTGGATGATCAGAACTTGACTAGAGGGAAAAAAGAATAATCCATTACAATTTGATGAACTTGACCTATACTTATGGATGTCGTAGCTCAAAAGAGCTTTACACCCCCTCTGTATACAGGGTTGACAGGGATGGGCAACTTAGATATTGGCTACTCAAAATGGGGCAGGGGGGCTACAAAGGCAAGAAGTGATTGGCTAACAATCTTTCAAGGGGAAGCCTAGTTCCAGAAGGTGTGGGAGAAGGTAGACTCTCCACTGAGATTCTAGGTGGGACTGATTAAAGGAGATGGGGATAGCACTCATGTGATACAATAGTGAATAATTGCTATCAGGACTGACTGTGAGTGGTACAAATGTAAAGGTAGACGTTTTGTAACAAAAGGAGGGGAGTGGTTGATTTTGCAGTCCAGGAGCGGAGATCCCTGAGACCATCAAGGGAGAAGAGCAGGGAGTGAGACCCTATCCAGAGAAGCAGTGTTGCCAGAGATGGAGGCAGAGATGATGATGTGGAGAGAGAGAACGGTTGGGGACTCTAGACTCAGGGAGGGAGAGAGGCTGTTTGCTGATGACCGAGGGACAGGCCTGTGGGGTGTACCCTTTGGTTGTCTGATGATGCATGAAGGGGATTGTAATCATTGCAATGAAACAAAATATGATAGGATGAATGTAAAGCTGATGTTCTCCCATGTCACTCAATTCACAATAAAAACTTATAAAAACAAAACAAAACTGAAGCGTTTGGTAGATTTAAAAATTCAAGCATTTCAATGGAGAGTAGGTTGAGCAGGAATCATTGCTTTTAGTACCCGACCCCTTTATTTGGAGCCTCTGAGCCCCAAGCTACCTGATCCTACCCAAATTGCTATGACTCTTTTAAGGGAAAACTGAGTAAATTGCATGGCTTTAGTTATTTATTCCATCAAGGGTGCTGAGAGCCATTGTTTTTAAAATCTGGAAATGTCGCTGACATTTGCTGGATCTGTATCTGGTTATTTTCCTGGGTGTCAATGAAATACCGAGTGAAGATGATCCCAAGATAATAGAATACGAAAAAAACTCAAATTCAATAGGTGAACCCTGCTGGTTAGCCTAATAGAATCAAAAATTTTAAAATAGAAAAAGCATAACACCCAGCACATATGCCAGGGTATCAAGTGCCCTCAGAATATATCCAAATGTTCAGAATAACTAAGCAGAGATATACATTTTACTTTTAAAAAAAGCAAATGCATGAAGAACACAGACTCTATTAAGAACAGAAGTTTATTAAATGCCTTATAATAAAATATTGAGCCCATTCTATTACAATACACAGGCTTGATGTTCTAACAAGTAATATTATGCCTCAGTTCAGGAATGCTCACGATGCACATACAAGGTGGAATTGGAGGAAGCTATAAATATAAATATATCTTCATTCTCCTCTTACACAACTGTAATTCTGAAGTCCAGAAAAAAAATTGAGACACTAGAGAAAAACTTGTAAAATTTCCTGAGTATTCCATTAAACAATTTTTAACACTATATGTTACCTTAATGGAAAACATGACCATTCTCTGATGGAAACATCCATTTTAATATTTATCATTTTCAATAACTGATAACCACAAGCCTAAAAATTTATTATACCAGAAAAATTCTTTGGGGTTATCATAAGGCTTTACAGCACATAGTAGATTTCAAGGCAATTTTACAAGGATTAAATTTTCTTGAACCATCTAGCTAGTAAAATGCCAAGATAAAATGAAATGTCAACATTAGCTGCTTATTTTCCCAATAACAAGAACTAAAAAATATTGTTGAAAAATTAAGATATGGGAGTGAGTGAATTTTGAATAATTCAGATGGCTAGGAGATGGCTAGGAGACTAGTTAGTATTAACTAGCTAGCATACAATGTATTTTCATTAATTAGAAGTTAAAGATTTTCTTCATATATGTAATTATTTCACAACAGCATTTCTAAAAACTATATAGCTTTATTCGGTTTACAAGTCAGTTTTCATAGACATTTTGATTCTGAAGATCTAAAGTTACATTATTTTGATATTTATTCCTAAGAATATCTGTCATTCTCATCCATGGTTCTGGAATATATGTTCATAAAACATAGCTGGGAGAGCCCTGGTGAGGCAGTGGTTAAGCACTTGACTGCTAAGCAAAAGTTTGGTGGTTTCAACCCAGCAGCCTGCTCCATGGCAGAAAGATGTGGTAGTCTGCTTCTGTAAAGATTGCAAGCCTTGGGAACCTGTGGAGCAGGTCTATACTGTCCTTACCTATAGGTTCATTCTATATTGGAATCAACTTCATGACAATGGATTAAAACAAAACTGATGTTGAAAAAGCATTACCGCGAGTTCTGAGTAGAAGTCATAACAAGTTAACCAATTCATACTTTCAACTCACTCAGAGCTAAACTAATTTAACCAAGTCATGTTCTTTAGCTCACACAGAAATTCGACTTTTCTCCATTTAAATAATTTAAGCAATTCTATTATACAGCCAAGGTGCTCTGGTAACGTAGTGGTTACGAATCGGGTTGCTAATCTCACGGTCAGCAGTTCGAAACTACCAGCTGTTCCACAGGAGAAAGATGAGCCTTTCTGCTCCCATAAAGCTTTACAGCGTCGGAAACCCTGTACAGGGTCGCTATGAGTCGGAACCGACTCCACATTATACAGCCAGTTTGTTTCAGAAAGTCACATTCTACACTCACACTCATAAACATGAAGTCTGGGGTCTGAATTTGAAATTGGTACTTCTAGTCCATTCTGAGTCCTGGTGTGGCACTGTGAGTTAATGGGCTGGACTGCAAAGTTGGTTTGAACTAAAAGGTCGGCAGTTCAAACTCACCAGCCCACAAGGGGTCGCTATGGGTCATAGTATACTCAATGGCACTTACAAAGAACAACAAAGTCCATTCTTAGGAGTCCTGGTGTGGTGCTGTAGGATAGGCACTGGATCATTAACTGCAAGATCGGCAGTTCAAATCCACCAATCGTTCCTCAGAAATTCTATACAGGATCACTACGAGTCTGAGCCAACTCAAGGGCGATTAGCAACAAGAGTCCATTGTTTGGTACCTTACCATTTCCATAATGAACACTTTATTCTATTAATATGACAATCAATGAAAGAACTTAAAAGTGAAGAAAAACAAGCTTTAATTTTGATTCAAATATTTTGCAATTGTATTAATAAAAGATCATGCTTTCAAATGAATGGAAAAAGAAAACCATATATGGTAATATGGAGTACTGCAATTATATCGCTTGTTGTTGTTATTGTTGTTGAGTGCCGTCGAGTCGGTTCCGACCCATAGCGACCCTGTACAGGGCTTCCGAGGGTATAAATCTTTACGGGAGTAGAAAGCCTCATCTTTCTCCCGCGGAACAGCTGGTAGTTTCGAACCGCTGACCTTAAGGTTCGCAGCCCGATTTGTAACCACTACGCTACCAGAGCTCCATGCAGTTATATCGCTATTGTTGTTAAATGCCATCTAGTTGGCTATTCAAACCGACTTTGCAGTCCAGCGCATTAACCCCCAGCACCACACCAAGACTCCACTCAAACATCCAACCATCTTCATTGTAGAATTAAGAAGCCAGGTCAAATATACTAAAAATCATTTGATTCAAAAGGTTTACAACCAATGCTTTAACAAAGTAACCCCTGTGAAAATAGTTTTTAAATATATAGCCTTATAAAATGCTACATTTTTAAACATTAAAACCTTGTTTCAGAAGTTCCTCGCTTTAGGTTGTTACTCAAAAAGTCATCATGTTCAAAACTCAAATTGTTGTGAGATCTTGAAATCATAAGAAGCTTCTCCTTATTGGTAAAGTCTTTTTTGAGGGCAGCTTGGGGTACAAGCAGCCTATCCATTGGGTCCTCTTTGTTTTCTAGTTTCATATACCCTTTGCTGTTGCTTCGATCCAACCGAGGCCAACTTGGATGTTTCCGCTGTTCTGCCTGAACAGTGAGAGTGGAGGGACCCCGGTCCAAGTCTAAGGATTTGGAGTGTGAGGAAAGTAAATTTAAGGATGTGTTGGAGCCAAACTGTCTTCTAGCAGCCCCAGGAGACAAGAGCTGTCCAGCCCCACTTCCAAGGTTCATAGAGGACTTGTACTGACTTGACAGAGACTCCCCAATGGAATTATTCCTTGGGAGCACCACACTGACTGGTTGGAAGGATTCACTGGTGTTGGGTAAAGGGACAACCAGGGAATCCATTGACAAATTCCTTGACCTACTTTTGAGGGTATCGGCGTCCTCGGTGATGTTATCTATACTGGGCTCATCAATAACACAGTTATTAAGTTTGATGACAGGCAACGTGAAAGCACTGATGGATGATGACACAATTGACTTGGTTTCACATTTCTTAGGACCACTGGTCTTATCATCAGTTGCCTTGGAAGGAGGCGGATAGAGGCCAAAGACTGAGACAGCGCTGTCAGCGAGCAATGGGGGCATAAGATGACTCAAACTCTTACTTTCATTTAGAGTAAGTTCATCCTCCTCTACAGAGCTGTCCATGCGAAAACTTCCCCGAAAACCTGACAAAGAGGCAATCGTGTTCGCTGCCAATCTCGAGGCACAGGAGCTCCCATTCTGTTTTACTTCTGTTTCTCCCAGGAGACCAGGGTACATGCCATTCATGTGCTTTTGCTCCTTGATTCTAAGGGTATGGATGTCTATGACTGTGGAATAGATATCCCTCATGTGTATGATTTTGGTTTCTTTGTCACGGTTTTCATGAAGAATAGCATTTGCACAAATGAAAATGAAAATCCCAATCCCCATCGTGAAAGGGCCAAGCATTTTCATTTTATCAGAATGTAAATGCTGCTCAAAGAAGCGAACCACCACACCACCTTGGTTTCGAATGACTTGAGTTTCATTTGTTGACAGTGTTGCTTCAGCATCTATAAAATGCTCTTTTTGGGGCCAGTATCCAAGGACTGCCATTGCAATGCCTATAATTGAAATCAGGACTCCTAAAATGAGGAAAAAACCAGATGGAGAATAAAGCCGGATTTTGCCTCGAACCACCACCACATCAGCTCGGGGCCGACGCCGGACAGGTTTCTTCTCCTGGGCAGCAGGTAAGGGGCTGAGGTTGACATGATGCTGCGATCTGGCAGAGTCTTGCCTTTTCAAGGCGGCCAGACCGGTGATCACTCCTCCTGTTGCTATCATAGCTTGGTCTTTTATTCTGAAAGAAGGAAAGAAAACGGTGAGATAAATAGGTTTATGGGTTTACTCATCCATTTAATTCAACAATTCTTTATAAGATCACTACTGTATATTGGGCATTGTTCTAGATGCCCCAGAAACACCAGAGAAGAAATATCAAACTCTGCTTCCTCAAAGAGGTTACACTCTAGGTCAATCAATCAGATGATTACTTCTGACAAAAATAAACATGATAGCAAAAGGACAAATCGTTAGCATTTTCTTGATGATGGCAGCCCTGAGAGAAATCTTAGTCTAAATGTTTCTAAATGGAAAGAAGAAATCAAAACATCTAGATAAAATAAAAATCAAGTTGCATAACTTAGCAATTTTTATGTGAATGTCAAAATCATGATCAAATGTTTTATATTTGTAACAGTGCATAAACATTGATTTTAAAATAATACTTCAATTTATGAGACATATTTCACATTTTGTAGGACCTCTAACTGACAACCACTTATCAAATTAAATTTTGTTTCTCCTTCTCAATCAGGCATGAACACCTGTACAAAAGCACATATTTGTTAACAAGATTTTTTTTCTGGATTCAAAGTGGTCTCTCCAGTTCTTATAAAACAAACAAATCATCGCTTTGGATTTCCAAAAATGCAATGTCTAGTCTGACAAATCTTAAACATAAATAAATAACAAGATTTCCAGAAATTATGGATATGGAGTCCTGGAGTGGCACTGTAAGATAAGCACTGGACTGCTTATCCAATTGCAGGATTGGTGACTCAAGCCTACCAGTTGCTCTTTGTTGTTGTTAAGTGCCACTGAGTTAGTTCCAACCAATAGCCACCCTATGGTATCGGGTTTCTGAGGAGCAGCTGGTCAGCTTGAACTACCAACCTTGCAGTTCAAATGGCTTTGCAGTCTGGCATATTAACCCACACAGCCACACCAGGAAACCCTACATATCTAAGTTTAGAATATCTATGAACACCCTAGTGCTAAAGATCTTTCCCCTTTTACTAATGTAAAATGTAATGTGTCTACTTGGTGTGTAAAAACATAAACAATTTAGTGCTTCACAGCAGATCTCTTATCTCAATTCAGAATTATTGTTGTTAGGTGCTGTTGGGTTGGTACCAACTCATGCACAACAGAACGAAACATTGCCCAGTCCTGCACCCTCCTCACAATCGTTATGTTTGAGCCCACTGTTGTACCCACTGTATCAATCCATCTCATTGGGGGGGGGGGGTCTTCTGCCTGTTTGCTGACCCTCTACTTTACCAACCATGATGTGCTTTTCCATAGACTGGTCCCTTCAGAGTACCCACAGTCAGTTGCTCAATAGCCACATGTAGACACTGGCTATCACATTGGACAGGACAGATTCACACTATCTATAGTGATCACATGACACAAGTAGCTTCAATCTATTTTGTCAGCCATATTATCCATAACTGCCATTGACAAATCTTGTTCTTTTCACCTTAACTTCTGGGATATATGCCAGGCCCATTTGTGACCCTATTGACTCTACTTGCAATGAGCTTCATTAATGTCTTCAACTGCCTACTCATACTCATAGCTGTTGACTAACTTAGACTCCTTGGAGACCTCCCGGGGGAGCCTTTACTGACACTTCACTTGCAGGCAATTCTTTAATTACTCTTTACTTACATCTATTCTACAGCATTTTCAATCCATTTGTTTTTCAATTCAGTGTACCCCTCACCCCATACTAAAATGTAAAGCTTTTGAGATATCTGGGTCATGTTTAACTCATCATTATACCCCTTGAACCTAACACATTGCTAGGCACTTAGCTCTGCAAACGTTTTCTGAGTTAATTAAATTCTAACTATTGTAATGGAACATATTGGTATATAATCTCACAAAACAGCACACACATACACTTGTTCTCTGTCACAAAAACTAACAATAAACAGGCTTTAAAAAATATGACTGTAAGTATAAAAACTTTCCGTTTATTCCCTCTGAATTTTTTTCCTGACAAAGGCTTTTTATGCTCCTTTGTCCTTCAAAATTTTCGTGAAAAAATTCCATTATCTTAATCCCATTTTTCCATAAACTTTTTGAAGTTCCCTCACACTGCACACATACAAACACAATTGTTGTTGACACATTCACTCCCTCTCATATACACCATGGAACATTCTTCACTGTCAGTGTTATTTTTAAGAAATGGAAAAATACAGACCACTTAAAAGGCCCCAAACAAACAAATCCAAGATTTATGAAGAAAATGCATTCCAACAACTCACAGTTCCAAAAACATTCTTGTGAAAGTCATCAACTATCAAATTTAATTTCCCTTCTTAATTCTCATCTTCAATCCATGGACATTACTAACTCCTTCTTGCTTGAAACTCTTCTACAGTTTTTGTGACACTAAGCCTTTCTGGCTCTTCCCTAACGTCACTGACTATTTTTATTTTGGCTCTCTTCTCCTCTCACCTAAATGTAGGCCATCTTCCCTGAAGAGTCCTGCCCTTGGTCATCTTTTCTCCTATACCTTCTCTTGGCATTCATATCCACTCCTACGCCTTCTTCCATTTTCTTAATGTTAATGTGTCCCAAGTTTACATTTCAAGTCATATCCTGAGCTTTAATTTCATACTCTCAACTGTACACTGGAGTATGTGTATGTGTAGATAGATAGATAGATAGATAGATAGATAGATAGATAGATAGATAGATAGATAGATTCATACACTGCTGGCAAAGCTGGACCCACCTTCTACCATATACTGGCTATATTACTTGATTGGTCTGGTATTTCTAAATGGTATTAGATCTCCAGCTTGACCCTTCAGCCACCTTTAAGTTTTCCCTTTCTTCTTCCGCTCATTTTCCAATCAAATTCTAAATCCTCACAATTTTCACTGCACACTGTCTCTCATCCTATTCCTCCTTTCCAATCCAATTCTTCCCAGTCTAGTGCAACTCTTAGTAACTCTTCATTGTTGTTGCTGTTATGAAGTGCCATCGAGTCAGTTCCGAGTTCGTCATAGAGACCTTATGCATATCTGAATGAAACATTGCCAGGTCCTGTGCCATCCTCACAGTTGTTGTTACAGTTAAGCCCACTGCTGCTACCACTGTGTCAGTCCAACTCCCTCTTCTTTGTTGACGTTCCACTTTACCAACCTTGATGTCCATCTCCGGGGACGAGTTCCTCCTGATAACATGTCCAAAGTGACAGGCACAAAGTCTCACCATCCTAGCTTCTAAGGATATTTCTGGCTGTACTTTTTTCAACACAGATTTGTTTGCTCTTCTGAATTCCAAGATAATTTTAATATTCTTCTCCAATACCATAATTCAAATGGATCAATTCCTCAATGGTATGCCTTATTCACTGTCCAACTTTCACATGCTTAGGAAACATATGAAATACCATGGCTTGGGTCAGGTACACTTTAGCCCTCAAACTGACATCTCTGCTCTTTAACACTTTAAAGAGGTCTTCTGCACAGCAATACACAAGCCACACCACACAAACAACTGACAGACAAGTGGTGGTACTAATTCTGACTATTGTTTATTGTTAAGTATTGTCAAGTCGGATTTGACTTCTAGCAACCCAGTATAGGGTTCCCAAGGAGCAGCTGATGAGTTTGAACCACCACTGGAGTGTTGGTTCCAAATTTGGCTGCTAACCTAAAGGTCAACAGTTCGAAACTACCAGCTGTTCCGTGGGAGAAAGATGAGGCTTTCTGCTCCTGTAAAGATTTACAGCCTTGGAAACCCTGTACAGGGTCTCTATGAGTCAGAACCGACTCCACGGCACATAACCACCACCACCACTACTGTGTAGTTCAAATCGATTTTGCAGTTCTGTGCTTATCCTACAGTGCCACACTAGGACTCTGACTAGACTATAATAACCTTCTAACTGTTCTTCCAAACTCCAATTAATGTTGCTTTTTCCATAATCAAACTTGATAAATTACTCTAAGGCACAAATATGAAATTGTTGAAAGAGGGGTTAATGAAAAAAATATTCCCCAATACTTAACAAAATTTAATCTGAGTTTAGTTTTATCTCGGTTACCTTTTATTTGCTGAAAACTCAAACCCAGTCATTCACACATCATACTGTACTATTTCTGAGACCTTCCTAATAAAGTTTCTGCAATCTAGATCCACAAACACCTACATTTATTTTGAAATATTGAAGTCTGGTTAATTGCTGAAGTTCATGTTCCACTTCCTTTATAAAGTCTTCTCTTACTGGTCCACTGAAACCCATGTGAGCTTTCAATCTTCAGAGCATTTTAGCAAGACTTCTATGGTATCTGCTATATTGCAATATGTCTTAGTTCTCCTACTTCTTATGGGCAGACTTCAAGTCTAATTCAATTATTATTACCACAAACATTCAACATAATACCTTGCACAAAACCAGTATTCAAGAAATATTAACTAAAATGTTGAATAAGGAAGTAGTCTATTTCCTGATGCTTGCTGGATGGCAAACATATTGCTACGCTAACTTTCCTAATTGTAACTATGAACAAACAAATTAACACCAAAACAAAAATCAACATTTTGTAAGTTGGTAAAATATTTGTCATTATTTGTAATAAAATAGTTCTCTAGCTGCCAAATTTGGTTGGTAGAAAAACAAAATATTTTAAGACCCACAAGATCTTCAGCAAATTGCTGAGAGAATTTCTTCAGGATATCAAATCGTCTTGTAAAATTGAGCTCTCCTTTTAAATTCTATTTGTGATCTATGAATGTGTTTAAATAACAGGGCTGTAGAGGATATCTAAAGTTTTAGCTAGCTGAACAAGCTGGTGAGTAAATCTAGCCTTCAATGGAATTATAACTAGAATGAAAATGTTTTAACCTATAGCACTAGTCTATGAAATTTATCAAAGTATGCATACTACAACTAAAAAATCTTCTACACCTTGAATAAAACAAAGCCTGGTATTAACATATGTTTTATTGCACTAAAAACAGTTTCAAATGTTTGAATAAAATGCTTAGT